AACCCGGGGCCTTGGTGTTATCAGCACCGCACTCTCCCGAGTGAGCCACGGGCAGGCCCCAGAAAGGGAAAATTTAGACAGCGATATGTAGACAGAAGACAATGTGAAGATATATATAAGGAGAAGATGGCTTTCTAAAAGTCAAGTGCAGAGGCCTAAAATAGATCCTTTCCTCACAGCTTTCAGAAGAATCAATCTTGCCTACTCCTTGATTTCAGACTTTACCCTCCAAAACTGTGAGACAATGAAATTCTGTTGTTTAAGCCACCCAGTCTGCAGTACTTTATATAGCAGCCCTAGCAAACTAATACATCATCCTTGCATCAATTATGTACAATATTAAGGGCTTCTTAGCAGTTCTTTCATGATCCACTGACAATTTTAAAAGAGAAATTTTGATTCTAGAGGCCTCTCAGCTCTTTCAAATGAAACTCCATCAAAGAACTTAGAGAAACAAATGGTTTGCTAGTATTATACATTATGAGGTATAATAAACACTGTAAGTTAAATAAAACATTTTTGAAGAATTTAAGAGAAATCTAACAGTCATGAAAAATTACTTTAAATGTACTTAACTTGAGAAACTCTAAGAAGGCTCTCTCATTTAGAACAATGTTTTACATAGCATTAGTCCTTGAGTTACTACAAATCACTTTATATTCATAGATACTTCATACTACATTCCCTTCCTGGACATCCACAACACACACTGGCAGCTAAAAAAGTTTTAAGATAAAATATGCTGACCTTTGCAAGTTTCCCAAATTTGTCCCCAGTATACCTTTTTTTTTTGGCCACTGACTGGTACAGGACTCCAAACCCTTGACCTTTGTCCCCAGTATACTTTATTAAGCTGATATCTGTTAATATCTTGGGACACTCTGTGAAAGGATGCTTTAAGTGAGAAACTGTATTTAAAAGTAACAATATAGGTTAGAGCAGGGTGTTAAAACACCAAAATCAAGGGTTCAGAACCCTGTACTGGCCTGCAGCCAAAATATAAATAGATAAAAAAAAAGGAAAGAAAAGTAACAGCATAGAGTAAACTTTATCTTAAAAAGAATATACATGCTAAAAACATGTGTGAACCTTGACAACACTATGCTAAGTGATAGAGACCAGTCACAAAAGACCTCACATTGTATGATTCCATTTATATGAAATGTCCAGAACATCTATAGAGACAGAAAGCAGACTAATGGTTGCCTAGGGCTGAAGAGGTTGGGGGTCAATGGAGAGTAACTACCAATGAGTTTCTTTAGATGGGGGTGATAAAAAATATTCTAAAATTATTTGTGGTCATGGTTGTATAACTCTGAATATATTAGAGACCACTGAGTTGCATACTTTAAAAGGGTTAACATACAGTATGTGAATTATATCTCAATAAAGGTGTTATTAAAAAGAAGAAAATAGGTTTGGCTGGTTAGCTCAGTTCATTAGAGTGTGGTGTTATAACACCAAGGTCAAGGGTTTGGATCCCTCTACAGGCCAGAAAAAAAAGAAAGGCAAATGTTCTAAAACTGGATTTTGGTGATATTTCCCAATTTCATAAATAACTATTAAATTATATACTTAAAATAGGTGAGTTTTGTGATATGTGTGGTACCTTTATACATTTTTTTTAAAAAACAGAAGGTGTCCTTGAAACCTAATTATATAATATAGTATAGAATGGCTCAGCCACTTCATAGCTTTATATCTTAAGGAAGTTAATTTATCACTATGAGCTTGAATTTCCTCAATTATAAAATGGAGAAAATATTAGCCTCTGGGTATAATTGTGAGGGTTAAATAATACAGTTTTTATCAAGAGCCTATCATATCCTATACACAAAGATTAACTTCTTTTTCCTTTCATTTATTCACATCTTATAGTCATCATCCATCTTGAGTATTTCTCTTGAAAGCTGTCACTTTCAAAACTGTCTTTCCTGAAAGTTATATATATATATATATATATATATATATATAT